CATAGAAAATGTCACGGGAAAAAATTAATGATTCAAGGTAAGTTAGATGATGAGCAAAAAGAAAAACATAAATCTTGTAAGGTATGTTTGTATTGCAAAACGCATTTACCAGACAAGGAAAAAAATAGAGTAATAGATCATGACCATATTACAGGAAAGTTTAGAGGACCAGCTCATAGTGGATGTAATTTAAAATTACGAATCGATCCAGAAATAATAAAAATCCCCGTACTAATTTGTAATGGAAGTGGTTATGATTTCCATCATCTTATGCAAGAAATAGCAAAAGTGACGGATGAAAAAATAGTGCCGATAGCAAATAATTCAGAACAATATATTACTTTCTCAGTTGGTCAACTTCAATTTATTGATAGTTTGAAATTTTCATTACCTGGTTTAGCTAAGATGGCAGAAAACTTACATGATGAAAAGAAGGGCAAAACTAAAACACCAGAACAATTAGCAAAATGTTTTCCAATTATGTCAAAATTCATCTCACCTCATTTATTATCATTGCTTACATGTAAAGGAATATTCCCATATTAGTGGTTAACTAGTAAAAACAAATTCAAAGAAACGCAACTACCTCCTCGAAAAGATTTTAATAGTGACTTGGATGGAGTAAATTATTGCGAGCAAGGATGTGAAAGCAAAGAATGTGAACATGAGAAAATTTACACAATAACTCAAAAGGACTACGATTTTGCTCATACAGTTTGGAAAGAAACTGCTTGTAAAACCTTTGGTGATTATCACGATATTTACCTCAAAACGGATGTTCTTATATTAGCAGATGCATTCGATGCATTTCGAAAAGCATCTTATTCAGCATTCAAATTAGATCCAGCAAATTATTTAACCGCGCCAGGTCTTGCATGGGATGCGTGTATGAAGGTAACAAAGGTAAAATTAGAATTATTTAACGAGCATCAAGGAGATATGCATGACTTCTTTACTGCAATGAAAAGAGGAGGAATGTCCTTAGCTAGAAGACGTATAGCTAGAGCAAATATTCCTGGATTAGAAGGGTATGATGGAAAAAAAGCAAAAAAATGGCTGTTATATTTAGATGCTAATAATCTTTATGGCTGGGCAATGTCTCAATATTTACCAACCGAAGGATTTAAATGGCTATCAACAAAACCTTTGGAAGCATCCCACCCTTTAGTGCAGAAAATTTTAAAAATAAAAGAAAATTCAAATCGAGGATGTTGTTTGGAAGTTAAGTTATCGATTCCAAAAGAATTACATTCCAAATTTCGAGACTATCCAATGTGTCCAGAATGAAAGAATGTACCATATGATTGGTATAGTTCAAAACAAAAAGAATGGGCAGGTAAACAACGTTCAGATACAGAAAAACTTATACTAACTCTCCATGATAAGGACCATTATGTTATTCATTATAGAAATCTACAACAATATATAAAGGAAGGATATGTTCTTGAAAAAGTATATCGAATTCTAGGTTTCGAACAATCACCATGGTTGGAACCATACATTGCAATGAATACTCAACGACGTGCAAAAGCAAAGAATGCCTTTGAAAAAGATTTCTGGAAATTAATGAATAACTCAGTATTTGGAAAAACTATGGAAGATGTAAGAAAACGAGTGAATATAGATTTAGTTAGACAGGTAGGTGAAGAACAGAGGTTACGTAGATTAATATCAGATTCGGCATTTGTTAGTAGGAAAATTTTCTATGGAGCAAATTTGGTAGCAGTACATCGAAGACAAACCAATGTAAAACTAAATAAGCCAGAATATGTTGGAGCATGTATTCTTGATCTTTCTAAATACTTTATGTATGACTTCTGGTATGGACATCTCAAAAAGAAGTATGGTGATCGAGTAAGACTTTTATACACAGATACAGATTCTTTAATCATAGAAATTGAAACTGAAAATATTTATCAAGACATGATCGATGATTGTGATTTATTTGATTTTAGTGACTATCCAGAAGATCATTGGGTAGTAAAAAATCTTCCAGAAGATCAGTGGATAATCAATGAAGGTAAACGTGTCTTAAAAAATACAAAAGTTATAGGTAAGTGGAAGGACGAAAAT